CTTTCTACAACGCTGTCAACTTCAGAAATATCGAGCTAAAATTTGATGTGGTGGCAACTGAAAGTCATTCCTGACATGTGCTCTGAGCACAGAATGGACAAAATCACACAAATYATATGTCATGCCTTAATGTAGAAAAATAGTTTAAAACTCTGGCATTACTTTTTGACTTTAAATTATTTTAATTTTATTTTTTCATATTTGTCTGCTTACAGTAGTTATGCAACAAACTTACTTGTTTAGGATAAGTGTTRTGATGCACAATCGTTACAATTTTTTACATTGTCGTATTAAATCTTGACTCAAATATGACTGAATTAAAATCAAAYTAATAAAAAAACAGAAAATGTTTATATTTTCAGTGACTCGGAGTGTAAAACATAATAATAAAACTGTCTTAATAAGCTCCTTAACGAGGACAAAAGGGTGTGCGGGACACATGGTGTCTCTTTTGTTTAATCAGAATTAAAGGAGACTTTTGTCCAATATAATAATGCAGCACCTTTATTAAAAGGAACTATCCTTTAATAAAATATCTTCATTCTGCTCGTACTGATGAAACTGAGAAAGATCAAATGTAAAACCTTCACAATATAATTCCATACCATATCCTCTTTCAGGAGATATCAAAAATACATGAGCGGTATATTTTCACCTTCCACCAAAACCAATCAATCACTCTGACCGGCCAGCGCTCCGTCTTGCCTCATTTTCCTGTCTACCCTCATGTACTTTGACTGTATATTCAGGCAGAAGTCCAGAGGAATGTTGCACTAGGCCAGACACTACAACAGTGCACACAGCCAAGGCCAAGATCAAGACACAACATGTGTTTTGGATTTCARCAGGCGCTAGATTTAGTTGGCTCCATGTAGCACTGCTCACAGACCAGTAGCCTAATTTCACATTGGAGTTCCACAGCCTTACAAGACTCCCTTCTTCCTGCTGCAATAAATTACWGTGTCCGAAACAGATGGCCTCCTGTGGTGGTCTATATGTGGAGCTGCCAATGGTGGAAAAAAAAAAAGTGGGAGGTCAGAGGTGAGGGGAAACATAATGACTGATTCTTTCAAATGTTGTTGGTCATCTGCCAAACTCGTAAATCAAGTTCACACAATTTTTTTAATCTACTGAAGTAAACACACCCACMGTTAGAGATGACAGAGCCACCAGAAGAGATCATTCAATAAACGGTTTAAACCTTCCTCCCATGCCGTGAACGTCAGCATCAAATGACACGTCGGAAGTCAGCTGTGAGCTGYAGAACCACCTGCAGATGATGTCGGTTTCTTTAAAAACCTACCAGCCTAATTTATTTCCAGAACAGACAAGATTGCTATAAATGTTCTGGGGACTATGATTRAACATGCTAAAAATTGCTTCTAATATCAGTTTATTTTTTAATATAAATAGGAGACTGGATGACCGTCGTGGCCTTTATTAAAACACAAACAAACCACAACGTTAGTTTTGAAGCAAATTTGACAACAAAAACACAAAAATGAATGCTTAGATGTCTATACGCAAATTTATGTTTGATACAAAACATGATGTTGGGTTTTATTTTGAAATCACAGACGGCTATCAGGAGTCACTGCCAATATAAATGGACTTAAAAAGGAAAAACGGGTTAATTAGACACAGCTGTACATAATGATGCAACACCAAACTGAAGCATTAGTTGTGTTGAATACACATCTATCAATGTTGTTATTTTGAAGTTGTTTATCAGATGATTTTTTTGGGGGGGTGATTATGTTACAAAATTTTATCATCAAAGTAATAGTATGAAAATATATTGCATCCCTGCAGCTCTAATAAATATAATCAATAAAAAGCTCAACCAAGAAGGAAGTTTGCATACGGTTTATAAGATTAGGAAATCATATAAGACAAAATAAGATTTATTCTTCTTCTGCTACCTTTCATTTTATTTTGATTAGTATATATACATATATATATATATATATATATATATATATATATATATTGTTTTGGGGTTTTTTTATTATTGTATATAGTATATTTTAATGAAATGAATATATATTTTTAATTGAATAGAATTGAATTGAACTGAATTATTGGCTAAGCATGCTCAATGCAGTGGTGGCATTGTTCTAACATACAACCCTGTATTTTAGGCTGTCCTTGTCTAAATAATTGAAACTAAACTACAAAATAAAACATACAAAATTTTAAAAATATACCAGTCTTTCAGCACTCTGAGGGTTGTCTGATGAAGATGACTTCCACCTATCAAACCAAATTTTAAATGGTAAATGGACTGAACTTATAGAGCGCTTTATCAAGTCCCTCAGGACTCCAAAACACTTTACACTTACAGACATTCACACACTGATGATGGTAAGCTACACTGTAGCCACAGCTGCCCTGGGGCACACTGAGAGAGGCGAGGCTGCCATGCACCAATGCCACCAGACCCTCTGACCACCATCAGTAGGCAAGCAGGTGAAATGTCTTGCCCAAGGACACAACGAMYGAGACGGCTGGAATGGGGGATYGAACCGGTGACCTTCCGGTTCCAGRACGACTCCCCTAACCACTCCKCCACAGCCGCAAATTTYAGCTTAATCTCTGTAAAACTCACTAAAAATGTGTTTGCTCAGGTTGACTAGCTGTGCCATTAAGCAGTTTTAGATGTAGTAATACTTTCAGAGGGTTTCATTGAAATCAGTCCACTGGTTCATGAGATATTTTGCTAACAGACAAAATAGTACAGTCACATAACTGCCTGACTTACATGGAGCAGATTGTTAATAAAATTCAAGCACTCCTGACACTGCAGGCCACCGTGTCACAGGTTTAACCTGTTTAAACAAGTCTCTCGAGTTTACTGCAGATGAATCAAAGAGATCCAAGGGGCTTTTGGGGACCATAACAACTGAAGAGGGGTCTTAACATTTCAGATAGTCTGAGCGCCATTTGAACCACACAATACGCAGAGTAACCAACGTGCAGMGTAATTATCTGAAGGATGTTTTGTAGAGAACTTTTCTGGGAACTTGATTGTGATTTTTTTAATGTTTATGTCCTTTTTCCTCCTTATTTCTAGGAAGGCAAGATGACTAGAAGAAGGGGAAGGAAGAGGATAAACTTTGTGCCAGTTCTGAATTAGAATACAGCTGTTTCACAGTTTGTGCAAGGATTTTTTTTTTTATCCACAGGGGAACGTCAGCGTGAACGTAGTGGGAATTATTTAAAACGCAATTCATTAAAGATATCCCATGACATTTGTCTAAAACAGAAATGTTCTTGTGGACACGTGGACTGAAGCAACAAGAGTTTTGGACTTCAATAGATATCAATGGAGGGGAAATACAGGAAAGCCTCTTTAACTATTTTTTTTATCCACTCAAACAAGCTCCAGCAAAGAGAGGCTCTTCGGAAGCAACACATCTGTTTCCAGGCTTCCCCTGTTACAACGTGTGGCTAATTAAAGGATCGAGGGAGGTTGACGCAGCTCCGCTACACAGCGGTACACGGTTTAATTTAATCACAACAGATCAACACAGCTTTAATTGAACTTCACTGTACAATGTGTTTTCCCTCACACACAGAGAGCGTGTAATTTATCAAAAGGAACAAAAAAACGCAGCGCTCACAGAGAGATGCGGTATCATGGGACCGGTGCATGCAGGTAGAAATATGTGTACTTGGTAGAGGGTAGAGTTTCTATTGTRTGGGATGAAGTTCAGTAAGTTCACAACATGAAACGGTCCCATCAGAAATAGGATATGGACACCTCAGAGTGCCTTCTTAACAGCCAAACAACAATCATGCAGGTGTTGATGTCCAACACCCAGTCAGGGAGAATGTCATGGTCTGAAAAGGCCACGGGTGTTAGTGGGAAAAAAACGAGACAAACAAAAACAAATAAACAAGAGTGGCAAAGATGCGTTCCCTCGTAAAGATTTAAAGAGATTGAAAGAGAAAGTGAGAGGACTGTTTTCTGTCCTCCTCGCACAAATGTTCTGGCGGTTGATGGTGAGAACACATGCAAGAGTTGCAGCCCATGCGGTGGGATTTCCCTCTGCAACAAACATAGGATGGCACTGGCAGGGGGGGGGGGGACAGCTGGACTCGTCTAAACAATGACACGGAAAGCACGGCCCGGTCCAAGGAGCTCCCACGCATGACGCTCTGTCCACCCTGTGCCAAACGCACACACAGCTGGAGGACAGCTGCTGTGCGGAACAGTCCCGGGGCTTCTTCACTTGAGACTGAAATATATTGAAACTCTTGAGTTAGAGGAAATATGCACTGATTGAACTTTAGCAACCTCGTCATTCACACCACATGTCTTTTTTTTWWWWAAAAAAGCTGCCATAAAATCATGTGTCCAGGTTTACTAAGTGGATTATAAGTTGTAGAAGTGAGCAGGCGCCCCTTCCAATGAGCTCACACTTTTACAGCGTTTACATGTTGTATATATTCTGGGGTATGGRTCCATGTGTCTACAATTTGCTCAGGTTTGAGATTTGTGACAGAGTTCAACCAGTCAAACTAACACCGTCCTAATAAATCTCTGTGTTTTGGAGTACAGAGGAAGTCTTAGAAGATAGAAAAACATTGCAACAAGCAAATCTAGTTGGCCTGTATCAGTTTATCACAATGTTGTAATCATCAAAAGTCAAATATGTCAGCACAGGAATAAGAAACAAAATGTCCACAAAAGGAAAAAAAAGACTTTAATTGAAACTTCGCCCCCCTGTTGATTTGAACAAATTAAATCTATTATCCAAAATCCTTCTGATGATTTAATAAAAGGAGACAGGAGGAAATTGAACAGCAGACCCCATGTTGAGATGATGTATGGCACATGATCCAGCTAATTGCCACATAAGCTCATCTTGTTTAATTAGAAATTCATTTAAAAAGTGAAATAGGGAGTCCAATAATGCATCTTTTTAAAGTTGTAATAAGAGGGATAAATGAAAAAAAGTTACTTTTCTGTTCATAAGAAGAAGAAGGAGACTTACATGAAAGCATGGTAGATGAAYGCCCATCCTCTCGGCCTCTCCAGCACGTTGTACAGGCAGTTCTGCAACTTTCTGAAGCGCTTGCTGGAGGCGGACGCGTTGGCCCGGGGTCCGGGGGGTCCGGGCAGCGGGGTGCCCAGCAGACCCGTGCGGTGAGACGGGTGCCCGCGCTCCGGGGTGGACGGCTCGCTCCTCTCCGTCTGGAYGGCGGTGAGAGCCACGAACTCCACCCGCTGGTGGTCGCTCGGAGCCGGGGGCACGAGCATTCTGATGCCGCCGTTGTTGGATGGACTTCCGAGCATTTTTTTTTTTTGTTGTTGTTTTTTCCTCCCACCCACACTTTAAAACTACATGTACGGTTTGACTTGTCTCTGCTTTATCTCTAACCAAGTCATGCTCTTTATCTTTGGATTCAAAGCGGACCAAAACTTGCCATCCCCGCTGTGTTCTTTTTTTTTTTCTTCCTTGGGAGCCTCGATTTTTTTTAAAGTTATCTATGAATCAAGTCACGGTCACAAAAATAAAAAGCGCAATAGTTGGATGAGTGCGTCGCGCTGAAACGTGACCCCCGGTGACCATTGCTGAAAGAGTCAGGTGGGAAAGGTGATCAGGGCGCAGAGAGGTGATTTACGCATCCAGGAAAAAACTGCAAAAGTAACGACTTCAGGGCTAAAAACTAACAAGTAACAAGACAAGGCTGCAGAACAACTGCAGTGCCACGGATCTGTGTTTCTTCTSAGCTGTTTCTGCTGTTCGGACTGAGGCTGCATCAGCTTCCTTGTGCGCTTCTCCGCTCCGGCGCTCCTCTCTGCTCCGCTCCAGCAGGCAGGCGGGGTGGAGCGCACAGCAGCAGCGGCAGCTGACAAACATCAGGATGATGTCAAGGACCGCAGACAACCACTTTTATAAAAACTCCATTAAAAAGAAAGAGGGGGAAAGAAAAGAAAAAAAAGAGAAGAAGAAGTCCGAATAAGCGCCAAAAAGATGTCTGCATTTGTTTTGGAAACAAAGATGGAAACCTGAAGAGGCGAGAACTCGCAGGGCGGGATGAGGAGCAGCCGGATGATGAGGAGAGAGAGAGACAGGAGGTGTTCTTGTTGGTGGAGCTTTCCAGGAAGAAAAGACAAAGTTTGGATTCAATATTGCAGATTTCATGTGAAATTATCCAGCCTCAAAAGAGCTGAAGAGCAAAAGCTCCATTTGTCTTCCTCTGAAATAAAAAACACTTGTGTTTATTGTGGGAGGAGGGTTTGAATCCATGGTTACAGTGGGACMGCAGAGACAGGTGCTGAGGGACACAGGGACAGTCCTCTTTGACCCACACAGCTTTCTAAAGCTGTGACTGTGACACACAGGCCTGTGGTTCTGGCACAGACATGAAGTTATGGATCACCTGCTTCAGGACCTCTGAAGAATGCTCGCTGAGGTGGTCCCCCAGCTCCTGTCGGCCAAATCACACAGCAACAATAGGCTGAGGTGATTCACAGCAGCTCTGCTGTAGTTTGATCCTGGTACAACAGACATGGAGGATGTAAGCTTTGTCCAGTGTAAGAATATTTCTTAAAAGATATGTAAACTTTTCTTGCAATTTTGGAAAATACATTGAAAACAATAAGGTTTGAGTGATGAACTTTGGTAAGACAAGTTCTAAATCTACGCATTTAAATAAAAAAAATTCTTCATTTATGAACTTTCAGATCCAGATATCAGTAAAATGTGAATACAAACTCTCAGAAATCTATATCCATACGAGAACTATTATTTCAGGTATCCAAAAAAATTTGAAATATCTCTATTGTTTTTACTTCCCTTCCAAAATATAAACAAAAAAGAATAATTTTACCAAATAAAAATATCATTAATATATAATAGCAATTTCAGACATCAAATAATGGTTTGGTATTCCTCAAACRAATGCATAGCTCCCATTGCCTTTTCTTGCCAGAGTTTTAAAACAAAATGATGTTATGTTGGTAACGCTTTCTTTTACGGTACCCTTATTACCATGTAATTACAAGGTAATAAAAATACAATTAAATGTAATTACTACCTAATTACCATGTAACTACGTGGTAATTATGGTACAAAAGAAAAACTACTGTTAGTAAAACTACCTTTCTTGGGTAACTACAATCAAATTACTATTCAATAGTAACTCAACACTATATTTATAACCAAAAGAATGCAACTAAATTTTGGAGTTAGTGTTTAATTGCAATAAAATTTAACTTTAAACTGTCCAAATTTCCTACTACTTATTTAGGTGTTACATAGTGAGTTGTAATACATTACCAGGTAAGTGCTACATTACTACAGACAATTAATTATATGGTAAAATTGTACCCTAATTACCACATAATTACRTGKTGATAAGGGTACCGTAAAAGAAAGTGTTACTGTTATGTTAGACAAGAGTACAGAATACACTCATCAGTAAATTGTCAGAGTATTCAAAATTCAGAGTATGAACACGCTCCGAATACATGTGTTTATGAATGATTGTGATTGGGTGAAAGGTCAGTTTCACTGATAGTGACGTTCATGATGTAAATCGACAAACAGTTCAATTAAGAGCATGTAAGAACATGAAACTGCAGCTATCAGTTAAACCRTGAAGAACTCACCTGTTGATAACAACCAGCCTCTCTAAACCAAGTTATGATCAGACTTCACCAGAACATCTCACGATTCCCTTTGTGGAAGTGGTTTTAATAAAAAATACACTTCAACATGGAGCCATAGTCTGATGACATTGTATTTCGTAAACATTTGTGGAGTTCCGATGCTAATATTGATATTTTAATAGTGGGTTGATTATATGTTACAAAGGCCTTCCCTAGTGTTCTATGATAAATGTGTTCAGCTCTGTATAAGTTTTACTCTGTTTTGTATCAATAGCTGTGGCAGGTTAGACATGSTTGCTCTGTGTGCTCCTGTCAATTGTTGTTTATGGAACATGGAGTTGCTGGAATGAGGTGTGGGAATGCAGCTGGAGTCCTTTACAAGTCACAAATCTAGACATTATTCCCAGGACCTTCTCCCCTTACATAACATAACAACACTAATCTGTGTGTTGCTTTAGTTAGACCRCTGGAGTCATCGCTGGCTATGAAATAGACTCAGCTGCTGACAGTTTTACAGTAATGTGTTAATGCAAACAGGTGAGGGGTGGTATGTCAAATCAGTCAGCTGAAACTCTTAAAATAGAACATGTTTTTATTAGTGGTCAAATTATAAAACAGTTTGTTGACGATTTGTTCAAAGAACTGGTTTCAGAGTCATGAAGTCAATGTGCTTAAAAAGGAAAAAAATAACCTTAAAACTGCAGCGTAGACTACCCATCATTCAAAGAAGTTCAGGGGAATAATAAAATATCTGCAGATTTTATTTGTACTAAGCAGGGGCGGAGCCAGAGGAGAGGCCAGAGTGGCACGTGGAACCTGATTGGCCACCTCAGGCGCCACCCCCAAATGATTAACAAGTAGGGTGGGGATCACATGGCAATTCAAAGATGGGCAGTTAATAAGAATTGTTGGTGCTAACTGGGGTAGCTTTCAGAACGACATGGGGATTGCTCTTGGCTGTCACCACACCAAATTTCAGCTCAGTATTTCTAAAAATGGCTGCGTTGTTGCCCTTTGAAATTATGTTTGGAAGCCATCTTGGATTTTGTATCTGAAATCAGATTATGTAAAAGTTTGTTTCTCAGCTGATGCTATGCTAATTTTCAGCTGTGTGTGTTTAAAAATGGCTAAATTATAGCCCTTTGCGAAATTAGCATTAGCATTAGCAGTTATTTTAGTTGAAACTAGCAATTGCATGTTTTTGAATATTTTTTAGCTTCAATCACATGCAGAATTGCAGCTCAATTTATTTTTCTTAAAACAGTTGAGTTAGCGACATAGAAGTTAACTGTGGCCATCTTGAATTTTCAAATCCAGAGTAGTCTTATTTATTTTTTATTTGTATGTGCCCCATGCCCCCAAAAATAAATAAATAAATAAATAAATAAAACCTTGGCCACCCCATTCAAAAATCTATCTCTGCCCCTGGTACCAAGTTACAAAACATTTTTAAAGCAAGTCATCATATCCAAACTGACACTAGCTTTGTCTTGCTCCAAAGGAGACTTCAGAGCATTTTTTTTTTTACATTTTTGCCTGAAAGAGTTTAAATGAAACTTTCAGAAATTAACTACTGAGTTGGCCTCTACAACYAAYAATTTGTGGAGTCRGCACAATTCAAGATGGCTACARCAAAGTGAACKTAGCCTACCTCTGTGACATGCATGAATATTGAGCTAAAATTCAGTGTGGTGGTAGTAGCTGACAGTTATTCGCAACACACACTGAGCGCTAACAGTTCATGCAAGATTGATAGCAGTTCTAATTATCATTTTTAATGATGATAAACCATGACAATCTAAGACAGAAAGGCAGGAGATTCTGCWTTTGTAATGCATATTTTAATATCTTTTTGTCTAAAGTAAGATTTACACGTCCAAGAAAAACACTTTATTAAATATTGATGTTAACACTGATCACTTTGTTGAAACAAAAACATAAAACTAACCACAAAGACATGATTTATGTTTGGAATCTCCCAGTATAACCCTTCTAAGTTGTCTCTTTGTTTTACACTCTCAGTTGTTTAAATTAGGCCACGGTGTAACTGAAAAAAAAAATAAGGTGTTGAAGGATCGGCTTGTTCTGCTCGTACCCTTCATGGCTGAAATTTTAAGTTCAGCAGGACAAGCTCTATTAGTGCAGTGATTCAGTTCATCGAGTCTTCAACACTTGGATCTAGGAGGAGCATCCTGAGTGGCCTCCGGGCTCCTAACGGCCACATGACAACACGCAGCAGCTGAACGTTGTCAGCCTAAAGAGGAGCCATGAACAAGAGCGTCCACACTCTTACACAGAGAATTAATGTCACTCATCAGCAGCACTTGAGTGAAGAGTAGAGTTACAACCGAGAGCTGGGCGACGGGCCGAGTGTGAGGAGCTGGTCACCTCTCCCCTCTCTGTTGTTTGTCCAGCACACGCCTCACTTTGGGCATTCACTCACGCCCCGCAGAGCCCCGTTTAGCTCCGGGAGTCCACAGCCTCTCAGGGAATCTATGGGAACTTAAAAACACTCACATCAGCAGCCGTGCTCTGCACACAATGCAAACTCACTCTGCTTTGACCCCCCCTCCAGCCTTTTATTTCCGCTGGACATTTACTAATGGCTTTCCCAGACCGCGGCCTTGTTTGTCTTTCTTTAATCTGTTCTCTCTTTTGCTTTTCATGTTTCTCCCCCTTCCCTTTAACGCTGAGCCTTCTTAATGGGAAAACCTCAGCAGGAGGAGGAAAAGGAGGAGTATGGGAGGGGGCAGATGAGTTGTTGATATAGTGTSCGTTGTGGTGGGTTGATGTTGTGATCAAGTCTGGTTACAGTCTTTGGAGARATGAAATGACAGTGTCAAACTGTGTTGTGTTCGGAGCAGGACCCCCCAGCGAGCTGCTCACTCCAAGCATCACGTAGACGCCGTGGAAAATGTCAGCTGACAGAAAGCAGTTTTTACTCTGCTAATCAATCCACCGGGTCAAACATTCAGTAACACGAGCGTCGAAGTGTGAACCACAACAATGGGTGACTGAGTCTGGAACAYGCTGGGTTCAGACTTCACTCTGTGGCCCATTCATGACGGGTCAAGAGTTTCTTTGTAACTGTCTGCTTCTTTGACGAGCGACAGAGCAGACTTTAAGGCTCCACCTAGGAACATTTTACAGGCAGTGTAGACACTTCCTCACTTCTTCCATCATTAAAAAAGAACCAACTTCWAGCTTCAAAAAACAAACAAAAAGCCCAAATTAAAAACAGTATAAAAACAGTTCCAAATGAACACACTGACCTGTTTTGGTTCAGTGTAAATACTAAAAACATTACTAATCATGGTAATGAAAAAATGTGATTAAGAAGGCGCATCAAAGAGCTGAAATTTGTTACTTAGTTTGTATCTTAAAAACATGATTCAGATCTTTTGAAGTGGGGCTCTCTGGAAATGTTATGAACAATTAATATCTCACCTGTTGTGCATGGCTCCTTGAACAAGCTCAGTTTAGAGGCAAGGGGTTTAAATCTGACAGGACTAAGTAGCTAAATGAATAACGATGGTGGAAAAAATTGTTTTGTGTAAATAACAAAACTGGTGGTGACGTTAATGTTTTAAAAATAAAATTCACATTMAGGCTAAAGTTGCTTCAAGACAGCAGAAATCCTTTTTGGCCTCAATGTTGCTCTATAGATATTGGTTTGTCAATCTAGCAAAAAAAAAAAAAATTTACTGTATTTACAAGCGTATAATGCTTAAAATTTAACCCCAAAAATCATCCATAAAGTTGTGGGTTTGTATTATACACAGGATAAAATATTGACCAATGTTTTGCTAATGTACTACCACAATACATTTCAATGTTTTCTCATTCATAACTGAATTTTTTTGTCATGGAGAAGAAAAACCTTTGTTTTCTCCTCTTGTTAACTGTGGAGATAGAAAGCAGACTTGGGCGTTAGTTGCATGTTTGCATATTCCATAAAACCAAACGAGCTGCTCTGTGAAACTGTCCATATTGCTAATTTAACAACCAGCTTCTGCTCTGGGGAGCGTGCAGAAGCACACACTGCTCCTCCTCAGCCACAAACACTCCTACAGGTGTGTGTCCCCAAATTTAACTGTTTCCCCATGACAGAGTTTGCYGCAAAGTCTGAAAAATCCCAAAGTCTGCATAAAATACACATAGCATACATTTTTAATGCTTTTTAAGCTGAAAAATGAGTGGTCGCATCATACTGGAATCACATTATACACACACAACTACGGTAAGCTCCATTTCTTTAAACTTGAGGTCATTCAAGGAGCTATCTACAACAGGTAAGATATTAATTCTTCATAATCTTTCCAAACAGCTCCGCTTTCTCAGAACTGAATATTTGGATTAATGAATTACTGTAAACAGTGAAGCATTAAGAAGTCTGTTGGAACTTTCTACCAAGCTTCATGTTAGCAAGCATTCACTTTATATTTCTTCACGTATTAAAGAAGCAATTTTAGAGTTAATTTTCAAAATTAAAAAAGCAATACTCTTTACAAATATTAAAGATTCTCAAGTTAAAGAAAAAAATTAATAAATATAAATTCTGAGTTGTGCACATTTTGTTAATCTTCACATAGTCTGTATTTAAATGTCTCAATTTAATGTTTTTAATTATTAGTCTTCTAAAACCCTTCTGAAGAATTAAAAAAAAAACATGGTTCAATAAAGTGTCACATTTTTCTGAGATGCCAGACTCTTGGAATGTTTAGATTACAGTTTTGATGATGATTAAAAGCAAATCTCCTGACACCACAGGACGACAGGAATGAGGATCAAATGTAAGGCCCACCTCGGTAAAAGTCGGCTCCTGTTATTGTGTTTTTGCGGAGCTTGGAGCGGACCAGCTGGTGTCGGGGCAGATTCAGAATCACAAGGTCTAGACCACAGCCAAAGCTGTCAGCCCCGGGTCATAYGGCCAAAGCTGCCTTGATCTGACCAGACGAGCAAGCCAAGAAAAATACCACCGCACAATCCTTTTCACGCCTGACTTAGGCGCAAACATTCTCACAGTCCCCGACCTGGTCATTAGAAAGATCTGAGCATGTGTCTGCACTCATTAATGCTGTTATTGTTCAGAGATTAGGTCGATTAGGAAAAGGGGCCTTGCAGTTTGAAACGACTGCCTTTATGACAAYAATTAATAGTTCCATTTAAACACAGACCATTTTTTTAACAAGCATTTAAATGTGATAACTGCAGCTTTTACCCCTAATTTCAGTGATGCCAACACAATTTGTGCCGGCAAGGCAGGACTGAGCAACATTCAGCGCTTCGTTTTCTGTCCCACCACAAATATCTCTCTTCCTTTTAAGATTTAGGTCATATAAAGAATGCAGTCCGATCCTACAAAAGCTGAGAAATCTCTAGCCAAGCGACTCGTGACTCTTTTGTTAGCCTTCAATCCCCTGTGGCATAGTAGAYTTTTAAACCACACTAGCAAATGTAAGATTGAAAGTGCTCATATAAGCTGGGTTGATATGAAGCTAACATAAGTAAAGATGTATGTATATGTATATCACTTTGCACTTGAGCTCAAGGCTCAAGTAAAGGTGATGTAAATATGCTACTGATGAGAACAGTTGGTCTTTGAAATAAATATGCATTAATGAATGTTTATATTGCATGTAGGTTGTTGGATTTGTGCTGCCCTCCTGTGGTCATTTTGGGAAACAATCACAAATTCAAACATCCTTTTTTGTGGGGGGTGGGGTATWATGCAAAATGGACTTTTTCAGCTTTAAAGCATGTTATAGTGAGGGTCCCTCATCAAATACATGCTCAGGGTGTTGCTTTGACTCATTCATGCATGTTTGAGAATTCCCCAGTGTTGTATAAAGTACCACAAAGTGATACTTGAGTAAAAGTACAAGTAAAGTTACTTTGCTAAAAGTTAAAGTCTCCTTTAGGAATATTACTTGAATAAAAGTCTTAAAGTATCTGATATTTTTTGTACTTAAGTATTAAAAGTAAACACATTGATTCAAAATGAGCAGTTAGATGTTCAGTAATGACATTTAAGAGGTGACCTCCCTCCAAAAAAAAAAAAAAAAACACAGAAATGACTATATCTCGTAATAAAATAATTAATTGATGTTAAATTTAAGATACACTAGTCTAGCTGTTTCAGTTTATATACACATATCAAAGCTCCCCAAATCTTTTCCTCAAAATGAAAATCTGAGGGCTGCGACCAAATGCAACAAAACTATTTCATGAAATACACATACTTAAGTACAGCCCTTTTATTTTAATGATTATGTCCTGCTGGAGTGTGACATAATTTGTTTGAGTACAAACTAATACGGTATCAGAATTTTATATATTTATACTTCTCATTCAGCCACAATTAAATTCCCTCTATCTAGAAGGCACAATTTATATTACATTACATTATATTTTATATACAGTGGTTTGCAAAAGTATTCATACCCCTTGAACTTTTCCATAT